CTAGAGTAGGACATGCCAAGAATGGGGTACATTGACGTTGTGGCAGTCTTATGCAATATATGATCATAACTAAACCCCATTATTTATTTGCCTAGGTGAGGTGTTTTTAAATAAAACTATTACAATCTGTAAGATGTAATATCATTGTTTAGTGAATAAGTGAGTGAGCTGGATTATATATTTTGTATTTTGTGTGTGTAGGCCACACCTGTGTATGGAAATATTTGGTCACTGACACAATTTTCATAATTTTGGCGTTGTACACTATCAAAATGGATTTGAAATGAAACAAATAAGATGCAATTGCTTTTTAATTTAAGCTGTTGAACAAAAATATGATGTGAAATATTTAGCAATTGAAACAGTTTTCATACACAGTCCTCTTATTTCAGTGGTTAACTATAATTGGACAAATTAACACAATCATAAATAAAGTGTTTTAATACTTTGTCAATAATCCTTTGCAGGCAATGACTGCTTGAAGTCTTGAACACATGGACATCACAAAACACTGAGTTCCCTCCTTTGTGACTCTTTGCCAAGCCTTTACTGAAGCTGTCTTCAGTTGTTGTTTATTCATTGGTCTTTCTGCCTTAAGTTCTGTCTTTAGCAAGTGAAATGTATGCTTGACTGGGTTGAGATCAGGTGATTGAATTGGCTATTGCAGACTATTCCACTTCTTTGCCTTGTAAAACTCCTGAATTTGGCTGAATCCCTATTCACTTTAGAATTTATTCGGCTGCTCCCTTTATCATAAATAAAAACTATTGTCCCAGTGCCATTGGAAACCATGCATGCCTATGCCATCACACTTCCTCCTCCATGTTTTACAGATGATGAGGTATGCTTCTGATCTGCACTTTAGCCCATATTTATAATTTAACCAAAATAACCAAACTTGTGTCAGTGTCCAAATATTCTCAGACCTAACTATGTATAGTTTCCTAAATGTAATCAGATTACATGCCTTTAGAAAAATTATATGAGGTGGCACTCCTCATAATTATGTGACATAGCAAAATGTAATGCATAGAAAATAATTCAATTATTTATAGAGCATGATTTTCACCAGTAGAACCAACAATATCTGTCATTTAGGATAACAGCACATCTTGACAACTGGTTTAACATCAGAAGCCAGAGATTACTATAGTACAAAGCAAACTGCCTTCTACACTGGTCATTAAAGCAGAATATGGGTTTGGTAGTGGACTTCACATACTATTTAGGGCAACCTGTACTTAAAAAAAAAAAAAACACATTTGGACTTTGTCAAGACAAAGGAGATATAGTAAGATTGATCTAGCCAGAATGTGTTTTAGGGTTCAGTATTGAAATAGCACTTAATTTCCATTATAAATATCCCCCACAATTTCTAAAATATAAGTAACTGGTTGCATTTTATATTAATTTGCATACAATAACAAGCTGAAACTGAGTTTTCCAAATTCATAGAGATAAATAATGTGCCTTTAATTATTCGTAGAATGCTTTAGTTTGCAATACCAGTTTAGAAAGATTTAGTTGACAACAGTGATTAGATTTATCACTGACTATAAGAATTAATTTAGTTTTTTGTTTTTTAATGAAGTGCCACTATATCCTGCAATGTTGATAAATATGAGAAAAGTAGGCTTCAAATGATTTAAAGTATATTGTAAAACATGATGAGATCACTTAAAGGGACTCTATAGGCACCCAGACCACTTAATCCTAACTTAGTGGTGTGGGTGCCATGTGTCCTCTGTCTTAACCTTGAAGCTGAATACATTGCTGCTTTGCACAGTCACTAGTGCTACTTCCTTGGCAATAGCAGTCTCAGAGGGAGCATCTGCTTGGTGCACTGTAGCATTTTACTGTGCGTGCGCACTATCCTCTATGGAAAAACATTGGATTGGCTGAGATCATTGATCTTGATGACCTCAGTAAAGAAGGCAGGGCCAGTCGGAGACACCATCGCTGTGAAGGAGAAAAGGTAGTAAAACTACTTTTTTTATCCCTACAGGTGGAGCTCATCACCTATACTGCCACCAGGGAACTATAGCATTAGGAATTCACATTTGCATTACTAATACTTTAGTGTTCCTTTAATAAACAAGCTACAACAATCTAAATAAATTGTGACTGATTTCCTGTTTATGTGCAGGGAAATAAGAGAAAACTATATTGTAATGAGTGTGGATATGACCAAATAGTATATCATCATTGCATATCCATATTACCCAGTGTAAGGTGAGAAAATAATGTTTTAAGAACTAAGGCCACAATTAAATCTATCAGGATATGGGTTTCAAATGATAAAAAAAAAAAAAAAAAGATTTAAAAAACAAATTAATTACAATGTTAAAATAGAATATATATATATAATATATTAAACATATGTCAATATCTTTTTAAAATATATCAATATTAAAATATTTTTTTTTAAATGTATCCAAAAATATTAAATTATTTGCAAAGTGAATCCAAAAATATTAAATTGGGGCTGAGATGATTCAGAAATGACTATAAATGGAGCACATTGGTATAAATGTGGGTTGAGCATATTTTGATTACTTGGTTAAATCCCCATATATCTTCCTCTTTGATAGATGTTTTTATAAAGCTTTTATAAAGCTTATAGAATATTTATAGGTTGCATAATGTTCATGTGAGCTGATTCTCTTCTGCATAGTGAAACATAACTTATGGAATAACAATCCTGGTTTATCAATTGGTCTCCATGATAATTCTTAGAGTACAAAAGGATATTTGAACTATAAAAAGATATTTCATGCATTGCCAATCCTTCTACTGCTCCTAATCTTGGTACCAACTGAGACAACAAAATCCGGTTTATGAGAATAAAAACTCTGATGGTCAATAATTTTTAAAGGCTAACAACAGCTAAAATACAATACCTTATTTGGGGAAAATACAAGCTTTTATTTCATAAAAAGACATTTCCTACAAAGAAAAAAGACTGCTATACATGTAACATTAAACATTGAAATACTTTAGAATACCACTGCAACACATTACTAAATGACATAATTTATCTATAGGGTAAAATACTAATAGTTTTTTAAAAGGAAATTGTAATAGCTGTTGGATAAACGTAGACAGTTTTTATTTCTAGATATTATATGAACTTTAATTCACTGCACCTTTTATTGGTATTTTTTAACTTGTCAGGTGAATGGGTATACCCCAGACTGTAGTGAGCATTGTCTCTGATTGTGTTACAAAAGTAGATCCCCAGATCTTGTAGAACTTCAACAACCATGATGTTTTGCCAGTTCTCAGATTGGCAAGGAATCATGGGAGTTGCAGTTCTGCAACAGCTGGTGATCTACTGTTTGCTCACCCCTGCTCTCAGAGAAGTGCAAGAAGACACAGCATAAACCTAAGCAGAGACAGTTTGTGGACAAAAAAAAGAACAGAGAATATTCCATAAGCAATGACTGTCTCCACCCCTGCTAAAATATTCTGTCCTTAATTAAAATGTTAATTTTAACATCCTGTTCACCTGGCTTTGGAAAGTTTGTATCCACATATTGCAGAAAATCCTTCTCACTCATACTTCCCCGTATGGACAACCCCACCCAAACCACACAATATATCTACTGTACAATCTGAGATTCGCTGTCTGTTAACACAGATAATAAAATACATGCTAATTTTTTCCCACAAGACTAGTTTTACTATACTCACGCATTATACATTACAAACAAGTTTTTTTTCTACAACATGCATTCTTATCATTTCACTGTTTTGATGAGGGTGTATTTTAGCTGTATTGGAGAGGTTTGTATTCTCTCTTCATATTGCAATATGCTTTATTGTAGGCCCTTGGCTCCATTTGTAAGGATCCTCTCCAATAAATGTTTGTATATTCAATGGAACACTCCGGGAGTACCTATTATCACCACTCGCACTCTACGTGATCATAAATACCATCAAGCAGCAGTAGCCCAATCTCAGAGCTTTCAAGCACCCTCCAGAACAGTTAAATGAGTTAACATCAAATACTTTGTTTTAAACCCTAATACAATATTCTATCACTTTTGGTCTATAACTCCATCGCTAATAACCTCCTTGATTTTATAAACTATTGGTTAATGCAAACATGTGATGCCTGGTTAGAGCAGTGGTAATGTCTTAGCATTAGAAGTGAGAATCCCTATTTTACCACCTTTCTTTACCTCTAATATACCCTTTTATATAAGTATAAAGCTCTGCAGAATATGTTGGCATTATGTAAATAATAAGAAAGGTAGAGAACTTTTTGATAGAGTGAGTAAGAATATTTTAAATTTTTCAAGTAGAAAAAAAGGTTTTGCAAGTGGTCCCATGTTTATTCACAGATACTTATAGAGGAGATTATTCAATAAATGGCAAATTTTAGGCAAAAAGTGCTGATTTCACGCTGCACAAATCATTATGAGACAATACAGGAAAATCTCTTTTGAAGGACAAATTGTCAAATTTCTCTTTTTTTTTTTCACCGCAGCTATTTTGGTCTAAAGTTTGAAATTTCCATTTAAGATTTAGCAAATAACTCTTTCTGTTTACATAATGTACAGACAGCCAAGTAATTCAGCAAAAGGCCATATAATAGCAGATGTAATAATAATAATATATGACAGATTTATGACATCCGCCTTTCCCCATTGTATAATTTTGTTTGACTGAAACACAATTTTTCCATTCACCGCTTCTTGTCTATATGTCTGGCCATGAAACTACAAATGCTTTTCCTATAAACTGTCATTAATAAAGGATGCATTTTTTAAAACAGGGTGGTTTTTGATCTGCTCATTGACCCTTGTAGTTAAATATAATAGTTACCCATGAGATGCAAAGCACATTAATTTCTGTTTTGTTCAAGGTAAATGAACAACCATCAGTTTTCTGCTACAAATAAGCAGTTCCAATCACAGTACACTAATTATTATAAATGAAGCAGTGAAACTCGACATTTAAGAGGTTTATAGTACATATCAATGGATTGAAAAGGTCAGATTTGTATAATATGGGAAGCAAGCTATTGAAACACCTAAATACCCCTACACATTAGCCATAATACAAAGCAAAACTCCACAAATTAAATGCTATTTAGTCTTGAGCAACAGGGACAAAAACAACTATGCGTGATGACCTTGCACAGGACATGGAATGTAGGAATATATTATTGTATCTTTTTCATGCCAAAGAAAAAGTTATGGGTCTACTCACTAAAAGCTGAATCTGACAAATAAAGTTCGCTTAGCTCAATTCTTTTCCATTTGATTGATATGGTTTACTGCACTCTTGTCAACAGAATGTTCACCAAACTGGACTAAATTGCATATGTGTCCTAATGTCTGGTTAGTTTTAGGTTCATTGAATGTAAGAATTAGAAAAAAGGCATTTAATTACTTTTATTCCGGCGCCGAGATTTCCTCGGTGCTGCCTTCTGCTCCTCCTTCCACGACATTATCTGGATCTCTCGGCAATGACCAATCCAATGCTTCTCACAGAGGAGCATTCGAGACTGATGTGCATGTAAGCTGAGTACTGCTCACATATTCAAAGGCATCTCATATTTTGAATTCAATGGTCATGGTAATATGGCTCTGCTTACTTGATTGTTCCTGAGACAGACATTTGGCAAAAATTATGTTTAACAGTGGACACTTTTCAATTTCTGTCAAATTGCAATGTTTTATTTTGCAGGGTTAAAACTACAGGGCCACTGCACCTAGACCACTTCTTTGGATGAAATAGTCTGAGTGCCTTTAGTGGTTCTTTAGGGCTAGGAAACAAGGCTAAGATTTATGAATGCAATTCTCCTGCTCTGTATCAGGGGAACTATATCAAGTGAATCGAAGTAACTTGGTGGCTATTTGACCAAATTAGCCAACTTATAAAGAGGTTTGGTTAATTTCAGCAGACAACTGAACAACACTGAAATGGAAGTGCAAATTCAGTTGAAATTGTCTATATTTAGTAAACACAGCCAAACTGTGAACATTTAATAGCAAGTGCTGCTATTTGGTTGCCATTTGATGTTGTAAACAGTCCTTGTTGTCTCAGGAATTATTTTATAACATCACTTTTCTGAGCTTTTCTAGGCTTCACACTGGAGAATATTCCTTGATTAAAAATGTACTTATAAAAAATGAAAACATCAAACAACTCAGACACTTAGATAACCTAAATCAAAATATATAATAATAAGCAAATCCAACTGATTGTGTTAGAATTCAAATGATATTATTCACTAAACAATAAATCTTTTGTTTGTGAAAATCATTTTTTTTCTTCAAAATAACCTATTTGGGGAAATTAGATTTGTTTTCCTAAGAGGCTATTTTGGAGTAAATCTTGCTGGTCAGTTGTCAACACAACATGCCAATAAAACCCTTAATGAGAGACAAGTGACATGCAGGTCCCCAGTCTTTTTGAACTATAACGTCCACGACCCTTACAAAACCTTTGTACAGAATTCATCTTGCTGTGCATCGTGGCATTGTAGTTTGACAACAGCTGGAAAGCGACATCTTTGCTATCCCTGCTCTAAATAAAGAGCTTGCCCATTGATGTTTAAAGCAGAATGACAACCATTAAAGAATGAATAATGATGTGGAATGTCTTTGTATTTCCTTATATTAGCATTCTACTGCATTTTAAAATAAATGGGAGATTTGAAGACTTAGACAAGGTACACACAATGATATTTAAAGTGAAATGATGTTCTAACTAACCTTGCCCTGTATTCTACATTGAAAAGATATATCCCAATTACAGATAACAAATTCTCTATTATCAAATATAATATGAATTCATGGCATGTATTTACTGTAATTATTTGTCCTTATTCTTTAAGGGCTATAGTGACTACATTTATTGTTATATAGTTTTATGATGACTGCAAAACAATTTTTTAATTTTTGTTTTTAAACTGCTCAGTTAATTTTATAATTTTCAAATTCAATCTCAGCTACTTTTGGCTAATTCATGTAAGTCATATTTTAGTGATTAGAACCCATTGGGTACAAACCCAAACACCTCTGAAATAACGTTAACATGTAGACTCTCAGAAGAAAAACATGACAGAAACATGTCTATGGCTCAAAACCCACTGAAATAGCTTAATCCCAACATCCCTTAAAAGGTTATTATTTCATGAGAAATGAGCTAATTTTACAGAAAGACGAAGACCATGTGAAAGTATTTTCTCTATGACATAAATGACAGAAATAATACTGTAAGTTAAGCCACTTTTATATTTTATTTAACTAAAAGATAGAAAGGGAGCAATTTTTTTAATTATTTGTTCCACAAATAACTTATGTATGACATATTGGGTTTATTTTATATGCTTTTTAACATGAAAAAATAAACAGTTTGACAGATTATTACATTCTATTAATTACTTAGCTCGCCCTTATTTCTGTCGGTCCAGTGAAATTGCCAATTACCAATAGTTTGGTTTTAAGTAAACTGTTTCTCCTTTCTGTCCCCCACAAACATGCAGCTTGATGCAGCTTGATCCAAGATCACAGCATTTAAGCCATTCTGAATTAATTTGTTTCTATGCATACTCTTTAATGTGTCCCCTTTCCTTTCTTACCTTGGTGGAACTCAGAGTGTGCTATGTTTATCAGTATATAGCAGAGCTCCGAACAACAATGTACAAAAATAAATTGCATTTGATGTATAGTAACAGTGTTTGTAAGTTTGGTCTGTTTGATAAAATGTACTATTACTATAGCTATTAATAGGTCATTTTGTCACCTACATTTTGCAACATGTTACATTCTGTAGTCATCTATTTTCTTTTTGATTTGTCAGCTATGTTTTACTATATCTATTAATAGTCTTGTTAACCTGAAAACCCCTTTCTAAAAAAGTTAATATATATATATATATATATATATATATGTATATATATATATATATATATTTGTGTTCGGGGCAAATAGCCGTATATGGAGTAAGGTTCCAGCATAAGCGAAGGATAGTATAAAGGGAGCAAAGGGAGCCATTATACAGCTCAGTTTATGCTTTATGAATAAAATATTTGCCATAATAACGCATCTGCACAAAATGTGAACAAATAATAAAACATTGAAAAAAAAGGAAAAAAATACTAAAACTTAAAAAAGAAAAAAAAGGAAAGTGTGTTATTGTTAAACTACTATATATATATATATATATATATATATATATATATGAAATGTTTACATTTTGAACATAATCATTAAATGGTAAATAAGAAATGTGTATACAAATAAAAATACTGGTTAGGAGAATCCTAAATAACTTGGGGAACGATGGATATCACACGGGAATGAAAAACATCAATCATCTATTTAGATTAATGAGACAACATGTCAATATGTCTGAAACATAAATTGTTTATATTTCCTTTTATAAGTACTGTTGCAGAGGATTGAAGATATAAGACAATTTGAAGTCAGTGGTTCCATAGCTGCATAATTATTTGTAAGCTAAAAGAACATTTAAAAATAATCAGGTTATAATTTCCATATAAAACAGCTGGCAAATCAGAAAGAAATCAAATAACAGAGAACGTGTAAAGTTTAAAAAATGTATAATAAAGCAAAAAAAGACAAGTTAGATTATTTTAAAATTGAAAGTAATAATGTTTTTGAAAAGTACTTATATGGATCACAATTATACAACCAATATTCATACCATTATGCACTCTGATGAATGTGTCTTGCAGGGGTAGAAGATTTACTGCAGGGCTGCCAAAAAGGTTTCCATTCTAAAAACATGCAAAGCACCATGGGAGTTGTAGTTCTACAGCATCTACCTTTTGGACACCTTTTGGACATTATATATTATGTATACAGTCATTCACACTTATTCCATTGGCATTCCAAGGGGTCCATCTTATCTCCCATGCTGTTTGGAGGATATATGTTTCAAATGGGAGATGTCATAATCCCCATCAAGCCATGATCAGTAGAAATGATCGGTAAATTAATTGATGGGTGGCATGTTAATCAAATTTCTCTAGAATGTTTAAGTTCAAAACTGCAAACTTCAGCATCAGTAAAGAAACCTTAGCATAGTGCTTGACAGTAAATTGTCCACATAAAATGGAAAAACCAGCCACAGCCCAAGCTCCACTTCATTTAGAAACCAGACTCAAAAGTCTGATTTCATCAAATATTCCCATATTGATATATGCATCAGTGACTTTTTTCCATCATCTGTAGCTGGTACAAAATGCAGCAGCAACTTTATAAAATTGGAAATTTTAAAGTTTATACCCGTAAAATGTTGCATATTATTAAAATGATTCCTCCTTTCGTAGAAAGTCTTAAGGTACTACATGATCAAGAATCTAATCTTTTTGATTTTTTTCATTGGGTAACTAAAATTAAATATCAGGGTGGTGCAGTAGACATTGCTTACCTAGATATCAGTAAGGCTTTTGACAATGTTGCACATAGAAGGCTTATCAATAAACTGCAATCTTTAAGTTTGGATTCCAATATTGTTGAATGGGTAAGGCAGTGGCTGAGTGACAGGCAACAGAGGGTTGTAGTTAATGGAATATATTCGAAGCTTGGACTTGTCACCAGTGGGGTACCTCAGGGATCTGTACTTGGACCCATTCTCTTTAATATTTTTATTAGTGATATTGCAGAAGGTCTTGATGGTAAGGTATGTCTTTTTGCTGATGATACTAAGATATGTAACAGGGTTGATGTTCCAGGAGGGATAAGCCAAATGGCAAATGATTTAGGTAAACTAGAAAAATGGTCAGAATTGTGGCAACTGACATTTACTGTGGATAAGTGCAAGATAATGCATCTTGGAGTAAAAACCCAAGGGCAGAGTACAGAATATTTCATAGAGTCCTAACCTCAACATCTGAGGAAAGGAATTTAGGGGTGATTATTTCTGATGACTTAAAGGTAGGCAGACAATGTAATAGAGCAGCAGGAAATGCTAGCAGAATGCTTGGTTGTATAGGGAGAGGTATTAGCAGTAGAAAGAGGGAAGTGCTCATGCCATTGTACAGAACACTGGTGAGACCACACTTGGAGTATTGTACACAGTACTGGAGACCGTATCTTCAGAAGGATATTGATACCTTAGAGAGGGTTCAGAGAAGGGCTACTAAACTGGTTCATGGATTGCGGGATAAAACTTACCAGGAAAGGTTAAAGGATCTTAACATGTATAGCTTGGAGGAAAGACGAGACAGGGGGGATATGATAGAAACATTTAAATACATAAAGGGAATCAACACAGTAAAGGAGGAGACTATATTTAAAAGAAGAAAAACTACC